TATTAGAAAATAATTTGATACCTATAAATTAAGATTAATATTCTCAATGAGGATTTCTAAAGTTGTGAACACTGCTCTTTTTAGAACAAAACCAATTACAATAATTATTTAATATATACACTAGAGGTCCAGTGCACAAAATTTGTGCACTCAACAGGGGGAGGTGCTTCAGCCTGGCCTGTGCCCTCTTGTAGTCTAGGATCCCTCGAGGGATGTCCAGCGGGAGTGGGCCTAAGCCTGCATTGGGACATCCTTAGTACTGCTGTGGAGGTGGGAGAGGCTCCCGCCACCATGGCTGCACTCGCCAGCAGTAAGCGGGCTTCTGGCTGAGCGGCGCACCCCCTATGGGAGTGCACTGACCAGGGGGCAGCTCCTGCATTGAAAATCTCTGCCCTGGTGGTCAGTGTGTGTCATAGCGACCAATTGTTCTGCTGTTCAGTCAATTTGCATGTTAGCCTTTTATTACATAGGATATATATGTAATTTTATTTCCATGAGGAAGGGAGAGGAAGAGAGAGATGGAAATATAAATGATGAGAGAGAATCATTGATTGGCTGCTTTTTGCACACCCCACACTAGGGATTGAGCCAGCAGCCTGGGAATTGGACTGAGACCTCCTGATTCATAGGTTGATGCTCAGCCATTGAACCATGCTGGCAGGGCCAACAATTCTTGTTGATATGCATTAACATCAATACTTATGAAAGTATAAATATCTCAAACAAACATGTTTTTAGTATCCTATATAATAAAAGCCTAATATGTTAAGTGTCCAGTCATCTGTTCAGCCAATCAAAGTGTAATATGCTAATGTATGCTAATGCTGCATAACCACCACTCGCTATGAAGTGCACTGACGACCAACACAGGAGCTGCCCGCTGGTGGTCAGTGCACTCCCACAGGGAGAGCGCCGCTCAGCCAGAAGCCAGGCTCATGCCCGGAAGTGCAGTGGTGGTGGTGGTGGCGGAAGCCTCTCCCACATCTGTGGCAGTGCTAAGGATGTCTGACTGCTGGCTTAGGCCCACTCCCCACGGGCTCCACTGCAAGAGGGCGCATACCGGGCTAAAGACCCCTCCCCACCTGTACAAATTTTGTGCACTGGGGCTCTAGTATGTTTATAATATTCACCCAATAAATGGATGTCTACCCCATGCACTCTTCTCTGACACCTTCAGCCCTGGTAGGAACAGTTGGGTACATTTTCTTTTCCTAGCACCACCCCACACTCAGGCTGGGAAGGGAGTTAGGTTTACTTTGGAAGCAGATTCATGCCTCAAGCCAAACATCTATCAATTAAATAATGTATCTGGAATTTAAAGTGGATCTTCAATCTGGCCTGCTTTTCTTTAACCAGATTGGGACAGGAGTTTTGACCCACACCACATCGAGATAATAGGATTTAAATCTTGTTTTATCTCTGACTTATTCTCAGCTCCAATCTTGAGGTAGGTAGCTCATATAATTATTACAGCTGGAATATCAAGACTGACGCTATCCATAAAGGGCCCATGGACAAAATATTTCTTCTGCTTCATCCTCATTTGCTCATTCATAGCTATCATTTGAGGACATATGCATGTTTTAAATCTAGCACACTTTTTTTCTTGTTTCGTTTTCTTCTGAAACCTATTATCCCTATAAATGGATGTCTACCCCATGCACTCTTCTCTGACCCCTTCAGCCCTGGTAGGAACAGTTGGGTACATTTTCTTTTCCTAGCACCACCCCACACTCAGGCTGGGAAGGGAGTTAGGTTTACTTTGGAAGCAGATTCATGCCTCAAGCCAAATGCAAGAGAAAAACAGCCAGGAGCAGAGAGACTTTGTGTCCCTTCTCTTCAGCCAAATTCCTCTCAACCTGATTGCTATTCCTTGAGTCAGGAAGAGAGGAGAGTACTTTGCACAATAAAGGAAAGTACTGTGAATCGGGAAAGGGGTCTCAAGTTCCAGGTTTGTTGCTGGTCAGTTCGGAGTGAAGCCAATTTTTATAGAAAATCTCAATAATAAAAAATCAGATCTTAATAGAAACACAAACATATGCACACAAACATATATATACACAGTGTCTACAATCTGTGGAACACATAAAAAGTGTAACATACATGTCACTAGAGATCAGGGAGAGAGAGAGAGAGAATCTAGGGAGAAAATGACTGAAAATGTCCAAAGTTGAAGGAAGATATCCACTCAAAGATCCAAGATGCAAATAAACCTCATCAGGGTCAATATATTCCCATGCAGCTTAAAAGCAACTATAAGGAAATATTGAAAGTAGCTAAAGTAAATGGTCACACTAAATGCAGGAATATAAGGTTAGGAACAATAGTTACCTTCTCATCAGAAACAACGTATGCAAAAAGATAAAGGCACCATATTTTTAAAGTGCTTCCAATAAAAAGCAACTTCGAGTTTATATCCAAATAATATCACTTAAAGATAAAATGAAAGACACAACTTTCAGTAAATAAAATAAAATATAAACTGAGGATAAAAGAGAACTTCCTCAACCTGATAAAGAGTATCTAAGATGACATATTTAAAGTACTAAAAGAAAAACATACTGTCAACAAAGTCTGTTATATCCAGTAAAACTCTTTTAAAAGAGAAGGTCAAATAAAGACATATCCAGATAAGCAAAAACTGAGAGAATTGGTTGTTAGCAGGCCTACCTTAGAAGAAAGAGTAAAGTAAATTATTCAGGCTGAAAGAAACTGACCCCAGAGAGTAATTTGTAAAAAAAAAAAAAAAACTCTATGCATAAGGAGCACTGGTAAAGGTATTATTTAATTATAAAAGATAATATAAATACATATTTCTTCTTTATTCTTCTCTTATCTGATTTTAAAGCCATTGTAGAAAACCATATTTACCTATTTATCAATGTATATTTTTATTTATCCATATTCATATATGGATATATACATATATACATATATACTTATATGTATGTGTATATAAACATATGTGTGTATTATGCTAAATAAAATTGTGTAAAAATAAATAAAATTTTGTTGGTGGGGCTATAGCATTTAGAAATGTAAAATATTTGACAATAACTTAACAGGGCAGGTAAAAACAAAGTTGTATTAGAATAAGAAAATAAACTCAAATTTATAGGAAACAATGAGGAGTACCAGAAATGGTAAATAAAAAGGTTAACATAACAAACTCTAAAAATATATGCTTGCTTTTATTTCTTTTCTTTAGCTGCTTTGAAAGACATTAAAATTAAAGAATGTGAAGATTTTAGCAGGATATTATCAAGTTTATAATATATATATATGTGCAATATGTGTAACAATAAAATATAGCACATAGAAGAGGTAAAATAGAATAGCGCTAGCTAGGATTAACATTTCAATGTCTCACTGAATATAAGTTAGTAAAAATATGAAGTCTATTCTGATAAGTTCAGTTGTACCTAGTAAGCCCTAGAGTAGCCCATTAAGGATATCTATATCTATACTAGAGGCCTGGTGCATGGATTCGTGCATGGGTGGGGTCCCTCGAGCTGGCCTTTTAGGGATCGGGCAAAAACTGGCTCTCCAACATTCCCCTAGGGGTTGCGGATTGCAGAGGGTCCAGGCCAGGCTTAGGGACCCCACCAATACACGATTGGGGCCGAGGAAGGACCACGGGAGGGCTCCAGGGCATGCCCAACCCATCTCATCCAGTCCCGATTGGTTGGACCCCAGCAGCAAGCTAATCTACCAATCAGAGTTTCTGCCCCCTGGTGGTCAGTGCGTGTCATGGAGACTGGTCGAACGGTTGAACAAACGGACACTTAGCATATTAGGCTTTCATTATGTAGGGAATCCCTATATCTATCTATTTACTATCTATCTATCTACTATCTATTTACCTACCTACCTATCTATCATGAATATTATTAAAATTAAAACATTACTCTATAAAATACTCATTTAATGCAATAGAAAGCAGTAAAGAAGGAATAAAGGAACAAAAACAAGTGAAACAGGTGAAAAACAGGTATCAATCAATTTTGATAACAACATTAAATGTTAATGGATTAAAGAATCCAATCAGAAGGCAGACATTATCAGACTGGATAAAAAACAAGATTGTACTATGTGATGTCAACAGACAATATCTTTAGATTCAAAGATAAAAAGAGGTTGAGAATACGGGAAGATATGAAAACAGGAACTGTGAGAAAGTTAGGGTAGCTATACTAATATAAGAATAACCCTATTTAAAATGCTTCTCCTGTCCACCATTGTATATCAGGTCTGTCATTGAACAAAACATTATCATGAAGCAAATGACTATATATTTATATATAGTACTATGCTCACAAGCATAATGAAATAAAGAATTTTCATCCCTTTCAAATTCATTTGAATTTTCTATGTATATATGGAGGATCATTTAATACTAAAATATATCATAAACCCTTGTAACAGGTTGCAAGTGTATATTTGGTTCATCTCTCATGATAGGAAGAAATTATCAAAGGAAAGTACATCTAAAGTAAAGCCTCTTCGTGAGCAATACAAATAAATTCCATTATGTTAAGGGAAGCAAAAATAGGAACAGGCTTAGAATATATTGGGGTTAATTCTTTTCTCAACTTTTAAAAGAGGGACACATTTAATTCAACACTTCTGTCTTTTTTTCTTCCCATTGGTAAAACTGAGCCCATATTTCTATGTATCTTCTTCATGTACCTAAAAGAATTTCTGACAACCACAAGTTGTTTTAAAATATTGTCAAAACTGACAAACATACTTTACTGAAAGGATGCTCTATCTTCATTGATGCTGCAGGAGAAAATAAACTATGTGATATTGTAAGCTAGTCATGAGAAATGGCAATGGTAGTAGTTAATAGACAAGGGAAGATACCCATTTATGTATTTTTTTCCTGATCAACTTTTACGAACTCTTAATATCTTACCTAATAATAGATAAACATGTAAATTAACCATCCCTCCGCTACCTCACCAGCCAATCAGGAGAGTATGCAAATTAACCCAACATAGATGGCAGTAGGGGCAAAGCAGCAGAGTGAAGACTGAAGGCTCTGGCCAGAGCGAAGGCCTGGGTCCTAAGTGCTGGAGGAAAAACGGGGCCAGCAGCCAGGGGAAGGGAAGGCCTATTGCACGAATCTCTTCATGCAACGGGCCTCTAGTAAGAAAATAAAACAGTTGAGATCCAAAACTTCTTGAAAAGTAATTTTTGAGAAAATTCAACCCAGGGAAGATCACTCTCAGAATGGAAAGGCTTATAGTTGTAAGATTTGGATACTTTAATTAATATTTGTGATCAATGTGGCTTTTTTATAATGCAGAACTATAGTACTTCCATAATTGAAAAATGGGTCATAAATAATAAGCTATAAAAAACTCCTTTTGAGAAAGAGAGAGGGGAGGGAGGTAAAGAGGGGGGAGGGAGAGATACTTCCCAATGAAAAGAAAATCAGGTGGCCTCTCTTTGCTTTCCTGTTATAGATTTAGACATTCAGCTCTTTTCCTCCAATGACTTTAAAATGTTTAAGTTCCTTGTGTTGTTTTTCACTATCAAAGCACTGAGATTTTTTTTTTAAGCTTAATAATAAAAAGGCATTTCTGGGTAGATAATAAAATTCTTAAAATGTTCAGGATTTTGTTTTTATGAAAGTATTCACTTAAAAATATGCTACAGAAGAACTGGACACATAAAACTCACCGGTCTTTGCATCTTTCCAGTCATCTGAAAGAATAGTCTTGGTCTGGATAGTATATTTAGAAATAGGACTATGATTGTCTGAGCCACGGCTCCAAGTAAGTGCCACAGAAGTGGCTCTGATGTCTTCTATTCGCAGACCACCTGGAGGGCCTGGAGGGCCTGGAATGAAAATGTGGGTGATGGATCAATGAATCCCATACAGTGAATTAAGCACATATTCGAATACAAACATGTCCTCCTTGCAATTAACCTAAAGATATAACCAGTGTTGCCACATTCCTTTTAAATATAAAGCATAAGAAGTGATAATGATAGTATGTATGGTTTTCACTAAATGATTTCATTTGTCTCTTTTTGATAAATGCTGTCACTTTAAAATATCATTATTATTCAGGATACATATGATACTCTTTGAAACATAAAATACAATTTGCATCCAAGGGACTTATTACAGACTGCAGCATAATGAGAATGAATGAACACTTGCTCCATGCATGAATCACAGATGATAGCACAATTCAGTCCAAACATGAGAATAGTCAAATATTTCATTCTGCTTCCCCAAAATGGAACCAAGTACTTTTTTATAACCCTAAATATTATAGGTAGTTTATTTTCCTTGGAGTAGAAATTTCTGGGAATGATGTTATGTATTATTTTGGGTAATACATTTATACTGGTTTTGTAATAGGAATATATATAATATTAAAAGAAATACTAGTATTTCTACTTTTATAAAATGTAGAAAAAAATTGCTCTGAAAACATCAAATTATATAATGTAACATCTTAGGAAAGAAGAATTATTACTCCAGAACATAAAACATTGTTAAAATAGATTTTTGCAGATGATTCATTACTTAGTACCAATATTATTCATGTATACTTTAATTTGTGAGAACTGTGCTTGGGTGGTAGAAATGAAAAGATAAATGCGATGTAGCTTTTGGATTTCAAGTAGCTCTTTGTCTTGAAAGGGGTGAAATGAACCAGTAAACAAATAACTATAAGAGAAAGTAGTAAATGCCATGATGATGGTATACAAGATCCTTATTCTTGCCTTAGTTTTTTGTTTTTTGTTTTTTTATAAATGGCCTGGCCAGTGTGGCTCAATGGTTGAGTGTCCACCTATGAACCAGATCACCTTTCAATTTGGTTCAGTTCCCTTTCAGGGCACATGTCTGGGCTGCAGTCTTGATTTCTGGTCTGGGGCATGCAGGAGGCAGCCTACAAATGATTCTCTCTCATCACTGATGATTCTGTCTCTCTCTCCCTCCCTTCCTCTCTGAAATAAATAAAAATATATTTTTTAAAATGAGAAACATGTCTTTTAAGTGGTGCAGTGGCATCCATCACTTACAATGCCAAGAAGTTTCTCAGTTATTAGCGAGCTCCTCTCCTTGAACAGACATTTCAGAAAGCAGCATCACTTATTTGCACCAGAAAGAAGGCCATCCCCAATGGAATTAGGCATGCCAAATATAATAATCAACAACTTTAGTAAAGCAGCCCCTTCCTTTTTTCATATTGAGTAGAGACATGTTTTTATCTTCTGGCTAAAAATAAATACCTTCCTATTTATATATCAGATCATATGCTTAGCCTACATGACTGGCTACTTTTTCTCCATATGGGTTTTGGTCTTTGCAAACGTATAGACAGCACCCTAAACCTTCACCAATTTCTGTGTAGTTGGTCTCAAGGAGGAAGATGTGTATGTTGAACAACACAAATGCATGCATAGTAATAGTAAAATAACACAAGACACCCCCCATTCATGGTAGTAAATTTTATTACTTGGGAACAAATGTAATAAAAGGTAAAGTTTTGTTAATGTATAATTTGTAGGAGTGAACTTATACTTCTTGATATTAGCTAAAATAAGAATAACACACCATCCAAAATGAATGAAATAGACATATAAATAATATAGAACAAATTTGGCATTCGTGCTCAGAAAGAACATAGTGCATGTTTTATGTGTAGAAACCACATTGCAATACAGTGCACACTCATGATCAGAACCAAGAAACTCATTACTTTACATAAAGCATTATCCTAACTCAATTACTGCATGTTTTTACTATTAAATCATCAAACATAGGCAAATAATGGAAATAACTTTATACGCAACGTAGATCACACACATTTTAGAGTTCACTTAAGCCAAAATCTGCACATGTTATATAGAATGTTGCCATTGAGAAGGGTTATTGCCAGAATCACACAATTAGTCCGTGGCAGCATGCAGAGTCAGAGAAACTGGGTTTCCTGGCACAACTCACTCAAAATGAGGAAAAGCCCATTTGAAATTCAGATTGTGCAGTCCAAAGGTACCTGTCTGCCAAAGACGTCCAAAGAGCCACCTGACATTTATATTGATGTTCTCTTGAATATGTCTGTATTTTTTTAAACTAGTGTGAATCCATAACTTAAATTTGCATGAAGTAAAATGCTGTTAGTATTAAAAAAAGAAAATTTATATTGTACATTTTAATAAAATAATATATTTTATTTTTATTACATTGCAGTCATTGCTAAATCTTTTATAATTCTTATAGTAATCCCTAATTTACAGATGAGAAAACAGACAAGGATAGATTAAATAAAATAATCATAGTCACTCAGGAAATAAATGGAAAGGCTAGGATTTGAAACCAAATGATTTGCCTTGAAATCAACTTTTCAATAACTATATCAAAAATAAGCCTTTAAAAACAGGTAAGTAAAGATAACATCACCCATTTATAAATTAATACTCAATACATCTCCAGTCTTTCCTGATCACCAAAAGGTATTTGTTCATCTTTCCTGAATTTCACTACTGTTTTTAGTAATAGGTACCTACTTACAAACAAAATACAAATGTGGTTTCCACCCAGTTCTCATTCATATGTTATTAGAAGGAAAAATGAAAAGAAATGTCAAGTTCTCATTCATGTTATTAGAAGGAAAAATGAAAAGAAATGTCATTTTTTATCAATGTGTCTTTTCCTTTTTAGGAATACAGTCAATAAAGAAGAGTTTAGATATTTGAGAAAAGGCAGCTAGGAAAAAAAAAAAGCTTTTCAAAATGATTACTCACAAAATACAAACTAGCTGACCATATTATTTCAATCAATACTTTAGACTCATTTTCTGATAGACCAAATGGGATAGAAGATATGAAAAGGGGACTCTTCAGAATTCAAAAGATGCACAGTAGCTGTAATCATACCCCAGTCATCACTGGGATTGGTAGCAACACTGAAGCAGTAGGACTAACGTACTTTCTCTCTCTTAGGCACTGACTGGCTTTCTAAACAACTAGACTTGGAACCGAACACAGAAATGTGCTGGTTTTGCTGGGACTTCGCCCCACGTAGCACACACTTTTAAAATAAACCTTGATGTCAAGCCTAAAGGACAACTTGGTGTTGCCTTCCTTTTTTCACTTACAACTTCCCAATGTGTAATCACAAGCAAAACACCACACACAGATATACTGTGGTTCATTTTTAATTTTTACTAAAATAGAAAGTTTTGATAACAAGCTTAAATGTCATGGAAACAAAAATCTTTTCAGAACAAATTATCCTGCCTTTTAAAATAAAAGGATCTTAAAATAACAATGTTAAAGAGTATTAGTTATATTAGAAAAAGGTGGCTTCTTTTTTCCCAAAATATGTCAAAATCCTTTTATTACTACAGTATGATTCCTGCTCTAAAAAGTATTAAGGCAGTGGTTGAGCAATAAGTTTATAAAACACAAATTAATGTCGTGTGGTCTCATCAATATTTAAGGCTGTGCTAAGATGAAGCTGAATATTAAATATCTTTACTCTAAAATTTAATGAGAGCATGGTAGTTTTCAAATTTCTAACATTGATTAAAGTGAAAGTTGATCCCAAGTAGAAATGAGAATGAAGCTAAAGGGAGGTAAATGAATCTGTATCAGTCTAGTTGATATTGAGGCACTTTATCTAAACAAGAAGACTTTCCCTTTCTTGGAACCAGTCATACTTGTCATGTGGTTTTCTTTCTAAATTTTATTCTTTCTTTCCAAACCTCTATCTCTATCTGGTCTTGGTGGTAGACTTTCAATTATGGGCTCTGTAAGAAAATTCCCACAAAGGGATTCATGCACCACGTCTCCATGGTGATGTTTACAGACACATGAGATCCTCAGATTAATGTTAAATAACTTATTAAAATGATTCTGTAACAATAAATGGAGACTAGAAAAAAATTTAAAAACTTTTAAAAAGATGGGAATAAGTAACATCTTGAGATATGTATTTATTTAAAATAACTAATACATTATTTTAAAAAGAAAACTATTCATATCGTATTCAAACTATTCATGTCATGTCCATATTCCTCAAACTTTCTGAAGAGTTCTTTCAACCACAGATGGGGATGCTTGAGTTAATAATGAGAAGTCTATACAATGTCCCACACCCAAACATAAACCCACTTAAGAAGAGCAAAATATTTCTTCTGAAGAAATAAGGATTTTAAGCATGTCTCTGACCAAAGGGGGAAAGCGAAAGCATTTTCAAATAATTAAATGTAAGCAGTTTCAGAAAGAATTGTATGGGCTTCAATTTTAATTCTTTACTTCTGCTCAAATCCTTCTGATCATTCTCAATCTTCCTCAAAAAGAAAAAATCTAAGGCTGATGGTAGGAGTTAGTAAAATTAAATATGTATGCACGCTATTAATGGCTTGGCCATCTTCACCCAAATCTTATTTCCGTGATCATTTTCTCCACATGCTGTCCACTTTCACTTCCCAGTTCCAGGAATTGTTCCAAAAACCCTACAGAGCCATGGATAGTCTTCATTTGTTAACTGCTGCTTTTTATCCTTTCTTGCCAAAGAATATGTATGGCACCAGGATACCAAAGGCCGCAGGAGTAATGCGGCCTTAGCTTATATCCTAATTAAGATGACTCATTAGCCAATTTGACAACCTTGTTCATTACCTGCTTAGGTAAATCAAACAACCCATTCAATAGCAACACTCCTGTATTATAATTTACCAGTTTACTCATCATTTTTTCCCCCAAATAATGGGCTAATTTCTGAGATATGTGATTTCAAAGAAAAACAGGCTATGAAAACACAAAAATTGTATTTGGCCATTAAATGATGCACTGGGTTAGTTCACTAGACATGT